GAAATCAGAGCTACGCAGTTGTGTCATAGGACCTATACTGCTAGCAGCTAATGGAGCTCATTCAGCAGAATGGGGGAGGGGTTGGTGGGTTTGGAGCAAGATGCTCTGATTTCTACCATGACTACCACAATGATATTCCAGGCACCTAGGATGATGTGTAAATTCCTGTACAGCTACAGATTTATTACCACAAGTGGCTGCATCTTGATGCTAGTAGGGGTTGATGGCATTTAAGAATAAACAGCTAATGGTGTCTTCGTGGATTTGCATAACAGCTGGTAAACGGACAGCTGCTTTGCCTAGCTGGCACCTGTGCAAACAGTGTAGGAGAGAAATTGCCCCTCCTTTGTGCAGACAAATGAGCCTAATGCACTAAGCAAACCCGGCCTGGGCAAACGTGGCAGGCGCTACGAGCACAGCCAGGCCTTCCGTCCTGTTTTGTTCCTGCCTCGGCGCCTCGCGAAGCTCAATTGAATGAAACGAAATCCCTTTTAAAACTCAAAACGGCTCCCAGAGCAGTGCTGGAGACAGATCTGTATCGTTTTTATTAAAAGCCGCACACGATGCGCTGTCATTACGTTGGGGGGAGGGGGAGTCCGCCTCTCCCAGCCCCACTCCACTGCGGTGAGATGTAAACGCTCCCTGGGGAGTGATAGATGGGGGAAATGAAGGGCTTTATTGAGACCATCAATCTTGCTGGTGTTTCTGTGATCAAAGCCCGGCCATCCCAGGCAGAGGTTAGCTGGAGGAGCAAAGCGCTCAGGTTTCGGGTAATGGCTGGGTGGAGTGGGACAGCACAAGACTCACTGTGTTCCCAGCATGGGGGGAGGAAGGATGAGTAACATTTACTCCCAATGCTTGGGGCCAGGGAGAGGTCCTGGCTCAGGATTGGTCAGTGAAGGCTTGACAGGGCTCCAAAGCAAACGGATTTAGGTGGAGACATTGTCTCCATATGTGGGCCTGATCCTGAACTGGTGTCATCGACCGCTCGAGGGGCTTTCCCCTTCTGGCATGGGCCTGATCCTTCAGTCCTTACTGAGCAAGATTTCATGCTGAAGCTGGTCAGGCTTGCAGATGAGCCCCGAATGCAATAGGCCTGGGAGCTAATTCTTTAATTGCTGAACTAATGCATGTTACTGGGGCCATGCAGACAACTTGACACCCCTGAGAATCCCCTTGCTGGAGCACAGCATCTGCTCTGCAGCCTGAGGCCTGGGCCGGCTGTCCTGTGGGCCCCATCTCCTCTGTTCTTTCTGCCACTTGCGGGTGCCACACATCAGGGTGCGACTTTTCCTCCCTGGGAGGTGGTGCCCTCAGGGTGCTGCTAACTCCTCCGTCAGGCACGCTGTAGCACATCGCTCCCATTGGTAGCTGTGCTGAGGAGCCAGACCCCGTCCCCCACATTTCCAGCTCTTGCCCAGAGGCAAGGGGGTGTATGACCCCAGGGAGCCTGCTTGGCCCTGGCAGATGAGTCAGCTTGGGGAACCGCGGTCTGATTCACCCTGGCTAAGGACAGGCGTGCTAAAGAATCGTGCTTAGCCCTGCAGGAGCAGCCAAGTCTGTAATGTGCTGGAAAGTCTCTGAGGTTCCCCTGCTTGGCCTCAGCAGCTGCGCTTAGTCACAGGTGCTCTGTGAGGCTCCAGCCAGCCAAAGATAAAGAGAACTAGTCACAGCTGCCTCCTTCCATATGCCACAGCCCCCATCTTCTTGCAAAAGCTAAGGAGACTTGGGCTGGCCTGTGTTGGCTGGTGGACCTCCAGAAGTAGCTGCATAGGCTGTGGAGAGCTTAGTATGCAGAACTCTGCTTTCCGGGTCGGTGCTGACCCTGTGCCCGCATGGTTAATCTGGGGTTTGCTTCCTGGATTCCCAGATCGTACATTAAGCAAAGAAGGACCAGGGTGATGTAGAAACCCTGCCAAGCACACCTGGGCAGCCATATTTCACTCCCCGCCACTTGCCCGAGTCCCCCCCTTCCTGCACCAGACTTTTACTGGAACCCTGCCTGTCCCTGTGCAAGGCCATGCCCACTTGCTGGAACCCTGTCACCCCCTCCAGCCTGGAATGCTGCTGCCCCCACCCCATGTTGAAACCCTGCCACCTCCCATGTTGGAATGCTGCTCCACCTGGCCCTATCTCCCTACGGAGTGGGGCTGGCATCTCCACTCCCCCTGCTTGTTCCTGTGCGCCGCTCCTTGCTTTTGTGTGTTTTAAAAAAAAAAGGCAGAACAGGGCTTTAAAAAGGGACTGTCCCAGCCAAAACTGGACATGTGGTCACCCTTGCTATGAGGTAGTTTCTGACTTGGAAGAATTGTGGCTTGATGTTTCTTACAGAGTTGCTTTAGGCTGTGATACCTGGCAGCTAGTGCCTGGAACTGGAATGCAGCAGACCTGAGTTGTGTTCCCAGCTCTGCTACTGGCCTGCTGAGTGGCCTTGGGCAATTCCTTTCCCAGCTCTGTGCCTCAGTTTCCCCATTTGTAGAATGGGGATAATGATACTGACATCCCTTGGTAAAGTGCTGATGACAAGAGCTATATAGGGGCTAGAGAGCTGGTTTCCTCCAAATGGAGCAGCTCAGCACGGTTTGTTCCTCTGTTGTCTTCCCCCTCCTGGCCTCCAGTGTTTCTGTAGTTGCAGGTCACATGCAAAGACTTTCTCCCAGCCTTGGCCTGACATCCATGTGCACTGATGCACATAGCTTTGTGCGTTCTTTCCTTCACGCTCCTTTTAACTACTCAGTCACGTGCCACAGGAGTTCTTAGTGGGACAGCTCTTTGGTGGTGCTGATCTGAGCCTCGTGACAGACAGGCACTAGGCTGACTGGCTGATTTAAGCACATGTCTCTGTGCTGATGTAAGTCAGAAGCTGGGAATTGTAATTCCTGCATCCCTGCACCCTCTGTCAGGTACACCAGGCATGCACATGCTGCAAACATGTAGATGGGATCATGAGCTTTCGTGGGCACAGCCCACTTCTTCAGATGACCGGAGTTATGAGTAGGGGATTTGAAAACAAGAAATAAATAGAAGGAAAAGGGGGGGGGGGAGAATGAGGCTCTGTCTCCCATCCCCCTTCCTGTTTTTTCTTTGACTATCTGGAGAATGGGCGCTAAACTTAAGCAGATAAAGATCCAAGTCAATAGCTAGATTGCTAAGACAGGAAGGATACCATTCAGAGTAGTTAGCACACTCAGTGGTAGAGGCCCCACCAACCTAAATCAAGATTTACTCCATTAGCATTTGTGTATATAATGTAATTCCAGACTTTCTCTGGACTGGGGTAGATGGGGGAGCAGCTCCCTTCACAGTGACTCCTCCCTCCCCTCCCCTCTCCCCCCAGCTCAGGAGTAATAGGGGCAAGAAGCAGGGGAGGATGCTGAGCTTCCTGCAGCTGGGGGAGGTTTCTGGGGGTGAGTTGGACATGATTTCAGCTTAGGGTAGGTGCCGCTGGCTAGGATATCCCCAGCCCTGCAGTGATCTACTTCTCTGCCAGCTGCTCCCGGTGCCTGAAATAGTGTGGTGCATGCTTGTTCCTGCAGCTTTCCTGCCAGAAAGTCACTTTTCTTCGGGGAAACAAAGCAATCTGTGGGGACACGAATTCTGTGCATGTGCAGTGGTGCAGAATTCTCCCAGGCATTAACAGTGAGAGACAGTCTGATGTTGCTGGGACCCTCTGCCAAGGCCACTGGGCTCCTGGCACGGACTGATGGGACCAATTTGGGGGAGGCAGGAAAATTGGCTTTTCTGAGGTAACCCTAAAAATCAAACTTCTCTGAAATCCAGGAGAAGGCTTCAGTTCTCAGTTTAGGCCTATGTGTAACTTAATGCCACGTGCTGGTTCTTTGGCTGGTGCACCCGGCATTGCTCCATGGATGCTGATTTAGACTAATAGAACATCTGGCCTGGTTTTAGCAGCAGCAGGTCCAACACACATTGAAGGCTCCTTTCCCAATGCAAGTGATTTACTAAAAGCTGCCCTGGTACCTCTGTGTCGTAAACCCTGGGATGTGGGCTGGGCATTGCTTTCCCTCAAGATGCCTTCCCAAATGAACTGATTCTTGTATTGTGCTGCAAAGAGCTGGCTCTGTCTTTTACTGAGTGCTACATTCCTGGTGGGTGAGTCAGAGCTGCAGGGGTCAGGGTTTGGAGCCGAACACGATGGTTTCTCTAGTGCTGGCTCTCTGGGTGGGGACGGACGAATGGCGATGCAGGATGCTGACAGTGTTCCCGCTAGGGATGGGTAAACGTAATGCTAACAGATTAAAGGGGGGGTGGGTGGTGGGGCTCGCCAGGCTCTCCAGCACCAGAGGAAGAGGTGGCTGGGGTAGAAGAGTAACAGCCTCCGCTTGAGTGAAAGGCCCAGGGGGCTGTTTCTGACAGGTACAGCCATGTCCTGTCTGGGTCAGGACTGGGGGGAAATGCCCCAGGAAGGGGGTGGAGCCAGCCTCAGTGCTGTGTGCAGACCGTTACCTCACTGACCCCGGGTAGCCCGCATCTTACCAGGGAGCACCCCTTGGTTTCTTGAATACCCATATTTTCATAGTAGCTAGTGACTGAAAAATCAGTATGCTGAAATGTACTCAAAGAAAGAAGTGCATTGAGAAAACTCTTCTACTTGGTGGAAATCTAGAAACCTTTCTTTGGTTGTGGGAGTACAAAGCCCTCTGCTAATGATACTATAATGATGGATGTTCTAGTTATAGCAGAGACCTTTTTTTTTTTTTTTTTTTTTTCTCCAGCCATCCCCACTGTGTTCATCAGTTGCTGAAATGGTGTGAATTCACACTGCAAAGAGTATTAACTGGAGGGGAGAGATTCTCCCTCCCCCGCCCACCTGTCACAGTGAAACTCCAGTGCAGAGAGCGTAGAAGTATCCTGGATAATCTTTTGTGTTTTGACCGGCCCCTAGAGCACCCCGGGAAGGCATCGAGAGCAGCCCTGGCGGGTATTTTCACTCTGCAATGAACAGGAGTTTTTAAAATTCTTTTTCTTTTTTTCAGCAGAGGTTGAGAGAGCAGGGGATGGCCAACAACAGCTCTTTGTCAGTCCGCGGCTCCCTTGCTTACGATGACTTTGCCAGCCCTGACTGGTACATGTATGAGTCCACGGAACCTGAGATGCCGCAAGATGAGTGAGTGATCAACCCCTGTTTTCCACCCCCAGTTATATCCTGCAGCCGGAGACGGCGCTGTCCTCGGGGGAATAATTTTTGTTTCAAATTCCCATTTTTCTTGCAATCTCTTTCCAGCTCTTCACCCTCCCAACTTTCTCCTTGCCCCAGGGTGACTTTTTAGGAAATTACTAACTTTAAAAATTACAGTAGCAACACCTGACCATTCTGTGCCTCAGTTTCCCCAGCTTTAAGATGGAACTAACAACCCCCAGCTACCTGGTGCATGTGTTCCATAGATAGAACAAACATATCTGTCCCTACTGGTGTCCAATTCACTGAGGGTATGAATGTGTTAAAGTCCCTAGATAAGGAGCCTTGGCTTTTTAGCCCAACCCGTAGAAACTGATGTTCTTGGCTCTGGTGCAGTCTCATGTCTGCCAGGGGGCGACTGTCCCATACAGGCACCGCAGGTGTTTTTGTGTCTGGATTGGTGACAGTGTTTATGGTGCTCTAAGGAACCCTTTGCCACTTGGCCATCTTAACACTTCTCTCAAGTGTTTTCGGTCATTACCCCGGCATTACCATGTCTTGGGGGAAAGTCTTACCCCATGGGAATGAACTGCATAGTTAGATCCATTTCTGTAGCATGTTGCTAGCAGGAGCTGAGGGGTTGTGGCAAGTCCTTGTTCCCTTGCAATCTGCAGAGACGATAGCCCCGGGATCTGCTCTGCCATGCCTTAGCAAAGCACCACCTGATCCTGCTGCTCTTCACACCTTGAACACATCAGTCCTGGTCCTCTTTCCCCTCCTCGCCATAGCTCCACGATCCCCTTCTCCCGTCCTCTGTCGTCCTCCACTGGCAGCTCGAAGCTTTGCTGCTGATGGCTGGTTCCTGCAGCATCTTCTCCTCTTCAGCCTTCCTGCCTCCCAGGGCGTCTCTCCAGCAGCTGGGCTCCTCTTGGGCCATGTGCCCAATCATCCCTTCTATTGGCCAGCCCCTGAAGGCGTTGGCTGGCCCTGGGTTTTTTGACCCCCACCCTTCAGAACTTCCCTCCCTGTGCCGGGAAGCCAGAGGGCCTCTGCCCTCGAGTGGGGCAGCAGAGAAGCACTCGGTGTGTGCTGAGCTGCAGCCCCGTGCTGGAGAGCTTGGCCCCGGGCACAGATCAGCGTCTCTGGAGGGTTTCCAAAGGAGGCTGAGCAGCCATCTGTCTTGGATGCTGCGGACACAAGTCCTGCGTTTTGGCAGGGGCGTGGACTAGATTCCTTTGCTGTCCCTTCCGGCCTGCTGGAGCCGTGGCAAAGGGTTGGTGTCGGATTGCAGCGCTGCCGAGGGGCCCACTGGGCTTGGCACAGCACAAACACCGGCTGTGCGCTTGCCCCGGAGGGTTTGCTATGGGCGCAGACAAGGCCCAGAGAGGCCTGTTCTCCCCGCTGTGCTGCTGGGTACAGAGCGGTGAGGGACCTGCCCTGCTCACAGCCTGTCGAACAGCAGGAAATGGAAGCTTGGTCTCCAGACCCCATTCTGGGACCTTACCCACAAGACCCCTCCTAGGAGGCCTTGTGCCATCGTCTGGCAGGAGCTGCTCCCAGCGCAGTGGGGGAGGAGAGGGAGGCGAGGGTTATGGGGCAGTGTGGGGGTGAAGGAGGCAGGCGAGGGTTATGGGGCAGTGTGGGGGTGAAGGAGGCAGGCGAGGGCTATGGGGGAGGGCAGTGGGGGAGGAGGAGGAGGCGAGGGCTGGGGGGCAGGATGAAGGAGGCAGGCGAGGGCTGGGGGGCAGTGCAGCGGGGGAGGAGAGGGAGGCGAGGGCTATGGGGCAGTGTGGGCGAGGGCTATGGGGCAGTGCGGGGGTGTCTAGGGCCTCCAGAAAGGGGGCGGGCTTGCTGGCCAGCTGGGGTGGGCAAAGACTGGGAGAGGGACAGGGACACAAGCAGAGGCACGGTGAGTGGGGAGCATAATTTCTGCTCCTGGCCATCAGCTTGGACCCCGAGTCAGTGTGACTTGTCGTTTAGGCCTGTGGCTGCCGCTGTCAAGGAGCCTCTGTGGCTCTGTCCCAGGCGCTGGTGTTTCAGGAAGAGGAAAGTCTCCCCATTCGTGCAGCTCTGAAGAAAGGCTTGCTTTACGTACAGCCGCTCCCAGAGCTGCTCCAGGATTATTGGTTTAGTTCAATGAAAACTTTGAGCCAAAAGCGTCCATTGCTCCACCCCTGGCTCTTATCAAAAGCATTATTGATGCTATTGCTACCAGTTCCATCCCAGTTCTCTCCTTGACCCCTTTTAAACTTTGTCTCCTTACTTTCAGGCTACAAGTAAACATTTAAAAAAATGTCAAGACTTTGTCTCCTTACTTTCAGGCTACAAATAAACATTTAAAAAAAAAAACCAGCTTTCATTTTAGATGTACTAGATGGTAAATTCGGTAGAACTCTGTGATAGCACACACCTGACAGTTCTCACGAGAAGTGGCTATGTCCCAGCCTGTCAGCAAAGACTTACTATTAGATTATATAATGGGTTGCCATATTACTACGTCATAATTAAGGAGAGGGCATTAATTTACAAAATATACTACTGAACATTAAGCTGTGCTGTAGATTGTCATTGTCAAAGACCAGTTTTTTTTGTGGGAATCTTTATTTTTTTTGGGAGAGTTGGGGCAAAAATCATAGCTGTGCTGTAGATTGTCATTGTCAAAAAGACCAGTTTTTTTGTGGGAATTTTTATTTTTTTGGGAGATTGGGGCAAAAATCATTATTTTTTTCCTTAATCAAAAATCTTAATACACACCCCATCCAATATTCAGTAAATGTTCAGATTTTGAAAATAAAAAATGAGAATCCTTCCCAAGAAAATTTAGGGTTTTTTTTCTATTTTTAAAAAATAGAAACATATGTACCAAAATGACAATATTTTGCAAAGGACTTTTCAATCTGGTCCAAAAGCCATTCGTAACTTCCTGCCCTGCTTCTCCTGCCCCCATCAGCCCGTTGGTGTTTTGTTGATGCCTGAAACCTGGTCAGATAATGTGCTTGCCATTCCTAGAGTACAAAGGCAGTGGGTGTCCTTACCCCCATTTTACTGAATGGGAAACTGAGGAACAGGGAGGTGAAACGACTTAACCACTGGCACCTGGCAAAGCCGTAGAAGAGCTGGGGGTGAAACTCTGGTCTCTTGAGTCACAGTCCAAAGCTATAACTACTAGGCTACATATGTCCTGGGAATAAAGGAAGGTTTTTATTTTGTGTTTGTTCAATTGAGGTCTGACCCTGCACCATTGACTTCAACTGGAGCTCTGCCTTTCCTATCAATGGGTCAAGGACCTGACCTTGATTGATTTGTAACACTCTGGCAACTAGCAATGGGCTTCTGTGTTATGGAATTCCAAAAGGCAAGTCATCAGTCCCTACTGTCTTACGGTGCAAAACCATCCAGAACAAATATAAAATCTTGAAGTGGCACTACGTATTTTAAACTCCTTGGAGGAGGGTTGCTGGTGAGTCATGGAGGCAAGAATATTCCATATGTCTGGTGCAACCCCTTGCTTTAAACCCACCTGCATGGAAAGCAATTCCTTCCTCCTCTTGCATGCTTGATCTCTATAACAATGTGCTTAACCTTAAAAAGAACTCGGCAACACCAGGGGAAATATTTGACGGCTGTTTATACAGCTGGAATCGCCATGACGTCTGAGGCCCTGATATCGTAAAAAGTACTTATTAGCTAGTAAACATGAGGGCAACTCACAATGTCGACTAGCACTTTAAATTAAAGTTTGCCTAGAAAAAAATCTCTCTTGGAGGAGACTATTTCAATGTTTCCTTTCCATGTTTGTTCAGCGTTATCACACAGGCTCTCTTTGCTTGTGACTGCGTCTTGTAAGAAAGCTAGCCGGAGGAATTCTTCCTCACTGTAGAAGCCTCTATTGATTTTTGTCATTTTCCCATCTTGCTGTCTTTTTCTCTTTGCCTCTCCAACTCCTGCAAGAGAATGGAGACTTTTTCAGCTTCTTTGAAGCCTTCTCAGGAGGTTTCGTCAGCTGGAATCTGCAGGGTGTAATTTGCACATTAAAACATGCAAATTAGTTCTCTGGTATCTTCATACCTGCAGCAAACACTGCTTCCAGTTCTGCTCTAGTGTGCCTGGGGAAAGGGGTAAGCAGCGGAACTGGATGTTGCTAGCTTGACGTGTAACTTACACGCTTGTGGCAATTATGCTTCCTCCTGACATGTAGTTAGGGGCTTGGAAGACGAGTTCTAATCCTAGCTCAGCTCGCGCTCAGGCTCCCTGTGTGACCTGAGCCGATTACTTCATCTCCGGGTGCCTCAATTCCTCGGCTATAAAAATGGGACTAACCCCTTCCACCCTTTGTCTGCCTCGACTTTGAAGCAGGGATGTTGTCCTGGACTGGCGAGCCCTTGAAGGCAAACTGGCCAGAGCCTTGCCCTCAACCTAGCAGCCCCAGGGACAATTAATGGCAGGGCCTGTACCAGGTAGGGAGAGTTAATTCTAGTGACTGACCCCAAAGTGAAGGGAGCCTGTGGAAGGACTGTGTAACCTGTGAGGAGATGGCTCGGCAGTTTGGGTTTGGCGGTGATCACAAGAGTGGAGCTAACTCAAGTGCTGTCCCCTGGAGCAAGGGACAAGTGTCCAGGGAGTCCTGGGCTGATGTTGCAGGAGGGCAACAGGGAATACAAAGGACCCATAGGGAGCAGGCTCCTGAGCTGAAGTCTGTGGGGAGGGATGACTTTGAGTAACTCCATACAGACTGAACATTTGTGACTTGTCTGGAGAGCTTGGCCATGGGAGACCCAAGCGGAAGCAGATGGGCTGCAGGACGGCTGGAGACAGAGACCTGCACCATTATGCCTGGATGCAAAGGAGTGCTCCAATGAGGAGTACGTCCCATTCTCTAGAGCAGTGTTTCTTAAGCTTTTTAAGACAAGGAACACCAAACAATTTTTTTTTTAACACCAAGGGGTTTTTAGTTGAGCCAAAAAAAAAGTCGCCTGCCCCTTTAGGACAGCCATTTGGAACTCTGCTGTTCTCTGTGGGCCACCGGTGTTTCGCAGAACACAGTTTAAGAAACGCTATTCTACAGTCGCTCGGGGTGTGTATGTGCAGATGCTAGTCCCATGGGCCGTTGTCCTGGGGATGTTCCAGGTGGAGGCCGGAACTGGTGGAGTGTGGTGCTTTTTCTGATGCCATCTTGCTGCAGTGCAAGGAATGAACATAGCTACTTATCCGAATGCAGGAGGAACCAAGAGTGAAAGAAGCAGTCTCTCAGCTTACAGGCCCAAGCCTTTTAGCCAACAGACTCAACTGCTCTCTTGCATCTTCCAGGGTCCTGCTCCGATCACCAGTTGCTGCTTGGCATTCTTGCTTTGTGCCTCTGCCTCTCTGTTCTTGTCCAGTCTCTGCTTGTGTGGGACACGGAGACACCCGCACAGACACCCCTGTCCGAACACCTGGTAGTCGTTCCTACTCAAATCCTCCAGCTGCTCCTGCCCAATGGAATTAACATAGCTGACTCGGAGTCAGCATTTGGGACGACTCAGACACTAACTCCTCAGGAGCACACCTGGCTCCTCTGACCCCATTTCTCTAAGCAGTCTCAGGTGCCTTGTCCAGAGTGAATGAGGAATAGGTCTCTGATTGATTGCTTCCCTCAGCTGCCTCTTTTCATTAGACTCCATCCTGCTCACGTTGCAGCCAATGGCAAAAGGCTCCTCGAATTCCATGCTGGCAGGGTTGGACTCATTGTTGAGCAACTTGACTTCAGTCATCCTGAACTTTCCTCTCCTTATGGATCCTGTTTCTCCCAGTGGCTGGAAGGGCACCTCCTGCAGAACCCTCCTCGAGCCCCTCCGGACACAGCCCATGTGACCACACTTGCTTTCCCTAACTCTTTGCTCCTTCTTGATGGACTGAATGTGTTTTGAGTGGCTTTCTCTCTCTCCTTTCAGTATGGTTCCTAGTGTTATCCCAGCCTGCGACCCCACCATCGCCTACGGTCTGTATCACGCCTGCATGGCTCCTGTATCGGTGAGTGTCTGGAGAGAGTCAGCCCCTCTGCAAAGGCTCCTGGGAACTGGGCCATCACAGTAGTACTTTTGCAAGAGATGCATGAACTGGGCCATCACAGTAGTACTTTTTTCCAGAGATGCCTGTCTGCTAGGAGCTCTGCTCCTTGCCCCTGCTCTTTACCTGGGCCGCTTGCTTGGGCACTGATTGAACATAAGAACGGCCGTACTGGGTCAGACCAAAGGTCCATCTAGCCCAGTATCCTGTCTGCCGACAGCAGCCAACGCCAGGTGCTCCAGAGGGGGTGGACCAAAGACAATGATCAAGCGATTTATCTCCTGCCATCCATCTCCAGCCTTTGACAAACAGAGGCCAGGGACACCATTCCTTACCCCCTGGCTAATAGCCTTTTATGGACTTAACCTCCATGAATTTATCTAGCTCTTTAATAAACTCTGTTATAGTCCTAGCCTTCACAGCATCCTCTGGCAAGGAGTTCCACAGGTTGACTGTGTGCTGTGTGAAGAAGAACTTCCTTTTATTAGTTTTAAACCTGCTACCCATTAATTTCATTTGGTGTCCCCTAGTTCTTATATTATGGGAACAAGTAAATAACTTTTATTATTCACTCTCTCTGCACCACACTGGGAACAAGTAAATAACTTTTATTATTCACTCTCTCCGCACCACACATGATTTTATAGACCTCTCTCATATCCCCCTCAGTCTCCTCTTTTCTAAACTGAAAAGTCCCAGTCTCTTTAGCCTCTTCTCAGATGGGACCTGTTTCAAACTCCTAATCATTTTAGTTGCTCTTTCCTGAACCTTTTCTAATGCCAAAATATCTTTTTTGAGGTGAGGAGACCACATGTGTACGCAGTATTCAAGGTGTGGGCATCTCATGGATTTATACATGGGCAATAAGATATTCTCTGTCTTATTCTCTATCCCTTTTTTGGTCATTGGTAATGACTTTGGCCATCGCCACCTGATGTTTGGAGGAGTTGAGAGAGAGATCCCAATGACTGGGCTCTCCTCCAGGTCTCCCTGAGGTTCCCCCTTCACTGATCAACCGAGAGAATGAGAAATTCATGCATGGCTCTGAGTCCAGCAGACGCTGGCTGAGCCTGTCTCAGAGGGGAGCCGGCTTGGTCTGCACCTGCAAACACAGCGAGGAGTCCGCTGGCACCTTGGAGACTCACCGATTTATTTGGGCATCAGCATTTGTGGGCAAAGACCCAGGTGCCATGGCTGAACCTCTGCATCCCACAAGGCTGGGCAGAGCCACCGAGCACAGAGATGAATCTGGTGTCCTGGAAATGGGATTGTTTCCTGAAGACCACACTACGCCCGCATCTGGAATACTGCATACAGATGTGGTCGCCTCATCTCAAAAAAGATATATGGGCACTGGAGAAGGTTCAGAAAAGGGCAACAGTAATGATTAGGGGCTTAGAACGGGTCCCATATGAAGAGAGATTAAAAAGACTGGGACTTTTCAGCTTAGAAAAGAGGAGACTAAGGGGGGATAAGATAGAGGTCTATAAAATCATGACTGGTGTGGAAAAAGTGAATAAGGAAAAGTTATTTACTTATTCCCACAATATCAGAACTAGGGGTCACCAAATGAAATGAAATGAATAGGCAGCAGGTTTAAAACAAACACAAGGAAATTTTTCTTCACTCAGTGCACAGTCAACCTGTGGAACTCCTTGCCAGAAGATCTGGTGAAGGCTAGGCCTTTAACAGGGTTCAAAGGAGAGCTTGACAGATTCATGGAGGTTAGGTCCATCAATGGTTATTAGCCAGGATGGGTAGGAATGGTGTCCCTGGCCTCTGTTTGTCTGGAGGTGGGTGACAGGATCATGTGAGGATTACCTGTTGTGTTCCCTACCTCTGGGGCATCTGGCATTGGCCATTGTTGGCAGACAGGACCCTGGGCTGAATGGACCTTTGGTCTGGCCCAGTCTGGCCGTTCTTAAGAGAACAATTCGTCTAAGGTGGCCCCAGCGGAGTGCTGGGGGAAGGAGGAGAGGTTACAAAGAGACTGTGCTGACCCACTTTGTTCCGTATCCATTCAAATACTGGGGTGTGGCTAAAGGCCGGATCCTGGGCTCAGGTGTGTAAATCAGCCTGGTACATGCAGCCAATGAGAGAGCTCCCATTGTTCCGTGGCTCATTCCCTGCTGTGAGCAGTTTTCCTTCCCCTTATTCTATTGCTTCACCTGCCTACACCTGGAGCTGCCAGCTGCCTCAGGCAAGGTCTGATGCATTGCCCACTGTGGATTCCCTGTGGCTGAGACTGTCTGTCTGTGTGCATCTCTCTGGCAGCACACCTCAATGAGTATCTGGCCTTGATGTCCCCACACAGCAGCTCACGGGCCAGTGTACAAAAGAGATGGGGCTGCACCTTCGGTATTTTCCCTGTTTTGATGATTTGTTTCCGGCTCTCTTTGCAGCTGGCTGTGCTGATAGTCTTGTCTCTGCTGGTGAAACGCAAGAGCCTCCATAGGAGCTGTTGGAATGGAGCCCCTGGACTGCTCAGGTGTGCCGCATAACCACTTTCCACACCCTTTCTTTGCCCCCAGGCCGCCTTGGCCAAGGCATCCCTCGCTTTGATATGACAGCACTCCCTGGTGCTGTGCAGACTGGAATTGCTGAAATCTCTGCGGTCCTTTTGCCTCCTAGAATGTTGAAGCAGTTTGGTGGGGGTGGGCACCTTTTAGTCCTTGGGCCGTCTAGTGTTCTGATTTGCAGTCACCTCTTGGGTAGCACGTAACTAGGCTGGGGCGAGATGGCAGATGCAGAACTGAAGGCTGCTATTCAAACCCCAGGCCAGGCAGGAAGGACGGGATCAGCCTCTCTAGTCAGTTTTCAGCTGCCTCCAAGTTCACCGTAAGAATCGTTAAAGTTTCTGAGCTTTGTCTAACCTGACCTGAGCCACCTTGTCTGGGCTGTTTTCGTGGCTTCCCCCCATTCCTCCCCTCTCCCTCCAGCAGGCTGACCTGAGAGCACGGGGCAGCTTTTCTCTTGGGGAGCTATGGCCAGGCTGGTTGCTTCGGAGTGGCTCTGTCATGCAAGAACCAGCCCTTGTGGCTACTTTGGTGGCCTAGTCTAACGGTGTCCGGCCAGATGGCTGCAGGCCGACTAAATGGAACTGGAGAGAGGCCTGTGGTCCTGCTGAGCTCCTCTTTGTGCAAAACAAGGATGTGCCATTCTCTGCCCGGCAGTGGGGCTTGACTGTGACACCAGACGAAATACTCTATCCCCACTCTCAGAGCTTCAGGAATTCAGCCTGTCCCTGGAACCTTTCCCTCCAGGACCCCAGACCTTTGCTCACCCTGGCAGCTTTGCTCCCTGTTGAACTTGATATCCCTGATCTGCCACTGCACAGGGGTCATACCCAGGGTTCCCTGTAAGCCGGGCGCTTGTGCAGCCACCCAGGAGAGATTCCAAGGCTGCCCAGGTGATTAGCAGAGCCTCCACAGCTGGGTTTTGTATTGGGGGCGGTGTATGTCCACACACGCCTCAGTGCACATAAAAGATTAGAGGGAACGTTGGTGTGGAGGGGCTTAGACAATTATTTAGAAACTCTAGTATAGTGTGTGTACGCTCTTCGCCCCCCCCCCCCCCTTTGACATCTTCCGTCGGTTCATCATTCCTCCCGGTTCTCTCGAATATGGATACCCAGGGCTCTCGCTGTTTAGTCGGACTGTAAATCGCTGTGCACCCATGAGAGAGGTGGCAGCTCCGTGGTCCCTACAGGTGTGGCCGGGATGCCCAGCAATGCCTGGTGGCTCAGAGAAGCCGGGGGTTTGGATGTGGCAGGGTCAGGTTGGGGCTCAGTTTCTTCCAGCTAAACAAAGGGCAAGAAGCACCCGCCAGATACGGAGCGCGGGTGGACGGGACACTCAAGAACAGCCCACTGGCCGCCCCTGGGGGCTGGTCGGTAACTCCCCCACCCTGGCTGTGGCTGCCCTTTGCGGCAGAGGCAGGTGGATATGGTGCCTCAAGCCACCTTTGCGGGTGCCTGTGTGGAGAGGGAGGGTGGTCTCCTGGGATGGGGGGTGAGGAGTTCCCTGGCCGTTCTCACCCCCTGCTTGTTGCAGCCCTGTGGATTTCTTGGAAGTGGAGGGCCACCCGGGGCTGGTGGCAGCCGTGTTTGGAATCCTCTTCTCTTCTGTGTGCGTGCTGGTGCTGGACACCGACCCGCTGCCCTTCGTCGCCAGCTCCTCCCCGCGCACTCGAGGTAATGCGGGGGGCTCTGGCCGTCCCCTTCCACAGGGGGCTGCTTTTCCAGTCCTGTGGGCCCGTCGGAAGCCGGGCTGTCCCCGGTGAGCACTGCGATCCAGCTCCCCTGGTGCTGGCGTGCCCCTCCCTGAGCGAGCCCCGGAATAAACGCCTTCATGTTCAGCTGCGTTTCCCCCTTGCACAGATTTTGTGCCGGCCCCTAGGTAGCGTTTGGCCCCTTTGCTCATGGCCCTGCGGACACCCTGCTTGCAATGGACCGTTTGAGTGTGCGCAGCAGGGCGGGGAGCGGCTCGCATGAGAAAGCCGGGGCTGCAGTGACTCAGGCCCAGCTTGGTGCAGCAGCCTGGTGCACGGCCCTTCTGTCGCTTGCATTAATGCTGCCGGGGCCCGCCGGAGAGATGCTGGGAGTCAGAGCCCCACTGGCCGTGAGTGGCAGCTGCAGATGCCGAGTTTCTCTGCCCCGAGACCAAGCCGGCTGGGTGTTCCATGGCAAAGCAAAGGATCCTGGGAGCTGAGCGCTGCCGAGTGCAGGTGGCTGCGCGGGCTGATGGGAGGAGAGGAGCCATCGCTGGCTGTGCCTTGGGCAGGGACTGGATTTCCACTCTCCAGCGTTGGGCGGCTTGACAGCGCCTCCTAACCCGGTACGCAAGACGGGGCGTCGCCCTGGGACTGACAGCTCTGCACACTTGTCTTTTTCTCCACCCCACCCCTTGTCTAGAGTACTGGAAGATCCTGGCTTTGCTCTATTACCCTGCCTTTTACTATCCTTTACTTGCATGCGCCACCAGCAGACACAGAGCTGGCTATTTCGTAGGCTGCTTGCTCTCCTGGGGCCATTGTGTGGTCCAGATCTGGCAGAAAGTCGACTGCCCTCAGTCGCCCAAGGTAAATGTCAATGAGGTGCACAGCATGGCCCTGACTCCCCCTCCCTGGGCACAGGCACTACTAACGGGAGGTAGGGAGACAGGGAGGGCGATGAAGCCCCAGCTCGGGCTCTCCTGGAAGAGCTGAAGGTTTGGCTAATGGTGCTGAAGGCCACGTTGGTGCAGCCCCCTCGCCCTGCACTGATGGAAAAAGGCTTTTGGCTCTGCTGCATTCTGGGCATCTGCTAGCACCTGGGAAGCCCTAGGTGACGAATGAGAACTCGTTGGCTGGTGGGCGCACAGGAGTGGGAAGCTGTAGCATCCTGGGTACTGTAAGCTACACTACTAGTCTGCTCTTCCCTGCTCCCCAGATTTACAGGCACTATTCCCTGCTGTCTTACGGCCCCATTATCCTCTGCCTCATCATCCTGAGCTTTTGGTACCCGGTGCTGCTTGTCCGGAGCTTCACGCAGGAGAACCTGGCTGCGAGAGAGGTAATGCCCTGCGGCTTCCTTCCACGGACACGCTGTGTTGATTCCATTGAGGGCACCGAGCAGAGAACCCCCCCACACACACACACACACATGTTTGTTCCACTCCTGTGCAACACTCATGTACCAGGTATTTTCAAATTTGGATTGTGTGAGAGCTAATTAGCTAGTGAATGAGACTTCAGTGTTTGTGCCCATTAAAACAGAGCTGGAGATGTAACCAACAGCAAACGTGGCTCTAGAAGAGACACAAAATGTAGCATGAATCAGACAACTTACAGGCAATGGCTCATTCCTTGAAGTTATGTCTTAAAACCCCTCTTGGGGGTGTGTTGTCTAATTAGCATGAAAACAGGTCAGTTTTGCAATATTTTAAATGCCATGTGCATTAATTTTTTCTTAACAGCTGGACTCTCCTGTTTTTAAGCATGAAATAGAATAGATCATCTCCATTTTGTAGCAAAAATGCCTAAAGTGCTAATTGCAATTCTCTGAAGACCATGGTCACTGAATGCTTTTGGCTGGTCATCTCTCTGCATGATGGTTTTCTCATATTTTTTCCACGTCTGTGTGGGCTTCTACGTAGAGCTTGTCCACAGGGAAATTGACCTGCAGTAGTTCCCTGTGTGGACGCTTTTACTGCTGACTGACTACTCTGTGCCTTTTATTTTTTTTAATTGATGCCCCCTGTGATGGCACATTGGAGTCTTCCCGTCTCCTGCACCCCCGTAATGGCATGGACAGACTCCACCAGCAAGTAGAATAGAGGGAGTGTATTGCTTCTCCAGGATACAGTACAGCTGTAATCTGGTTCCAGGGCAGGCCTAGGATGCCTCAGCCCCCCTTGAGATGGGGGAGCCTGGGCCCCCAAATCCCAGCCTGCTTCCTCCATCATACCAGACAGAAAACTCACTTCCAGCCCTGCCCCCAGCCAGGGCTCCACTCCCCTTCTTCCCATTGTTCCGCTCCCTGGGAGATACCTGTCTGATGAGTTTCAAAGTCCCCTTGCATAATGACTCATCCCCTGCCCTGCTGGGCCGCGCTGCAGCCAGTGGAGGTCACTCACAGCCCACTGCCCAGCATAGCAACCAGCAAGGTGCCCCCCACTACGTCACACCCCCATCCTAGTCCAAAATAATGTTCAGGGGTAGACAAGCCCTTCGGGTTGAATGGGGCCACCAAGTTCTCCATTTGGAAGGTGACTTTGCACATCCAGTTGGTACACTGGGATGACTGTCTGGGGAAGTGAGTCAGTTTCCTCACTCTTGAGTGCATCACTTGCTCACGTGGTCTGCAGGCGTAATCAGCTGAGCGGGTAGAAATGGCTGGGGGGAAAACCAGAGGTGGTTCTGCCAAACTGGCCCTGTGTGTTTGTGCAGGATGAGACTTCAGCAACTGACTTCGCTAAACCATGAACAGAGCCCCAGTCCAACTCTGCAAATATTTGATTAGCTTCCCCCTGTATTCACTGGTACTGGGCTCCAGCCAAGACCCGAAGCTGGAATGGAGGGGAAGAGGCTGTTCTAGGGGCGCTTGTGGCTTGCCCAGAGGTAGGAAGCAGACAGTGAATGTTCCCAGGCGCTTGCAGACCTAAGGACATGTGCTCGATTGAGCCAATCTGCTGAGCCTCTTCTGACTCTGCAGTAAGCCCTGTCCCAGAGTCCGAGTCCGTCGCTTCCCACCCACCCCTTCACTGGGCTCGCAATCGCTTCTTAGGGTATCTGATCCTTTTAACCCTCCTCCCTGTTGCCGTGGATCTGGCAGGGATGGCCTCTCTCCACATCCAGCACCTGCCTGCCAGAGAGAAGGGGGCTGAGATGCCGAACTTTCTCTTTGAACCCCTCCGCGTGTCATCGTATGCTCAGGGAATTGGAAGGTGCTTATCTCCTAAGCGTGGGTCACCAGACCTTACTGCATCCCTGCTGGTGCCTGGTCAGCCCCCAGGATCCTGCCCCTTGGAACTCAGCCGGAGCCCCCTAAGTGGTGGGGTGTCACTTAGCGTTCCCGCCTTCCTCCCAGTTCCAGACAAGAGGAGCAGGCTGCAGTTCCATGCAGAGCAGTGGTGCTGGAACTAGGGGTGCTGCCGTATCCTCTGGCTCGAAGTAACAGTAAGCACCAAATACACGATCTCCATGGTCTGTCAGCAGCACTAGAATCGTTCTTCCAGCTCCCCGGTGCATTTGGGAGCAAAGTAGCTGCAGTCGTCCGGCAAGGAAAGGCTGTGGATCTGAGTTGCCTTGTAGTGATCCAAGTGACGGACGCTATCGACTGCCCTCATTCCACACACTGAGGACAGAAGGCAACGGGTCTAAATGCTGCCCCTCCGTCCCCACCCCTACACTGAGGACAGAAGGCAACGGGTCTAAATGCCGCCCCTCTGTCCCCACCCCCTTGGGTGCTGTGAGGGCTAACCCCAAATCTTTGCTAGGAGTTCTTCCTATTCCCACCTGCTCCCTCTGGCTGAGCCCTGCCACTCCTGCATGCCAATTTCTCCAGCTCTCCCTGGGCAAGCTGCCAAGCTTTGGGCACACTGGCTGTGCCCACACGCAGCGGGTTTGACGATTTAGGGGTTTAATCTTGCTGTATTTGGAGGGAACGAAAATCTCCCTTCTGTGTAAACTCCTTAGCTCAAGAAGCTTAGGCATCAATGGGTCCCATTCAGGCTGGAACTGGTGTCTCATTGTTTGTGCCCCTAGGTTTTCATGGCAGTGGGGGATAATCTCTGGGGCTCAGACAAGGATGTTTAAAAATGTAATGACACACACTCCCTTCCTAACACCCCCCAAAATACACAAGTCCACACCTTGCGGATTTCTTAGTGTTGTACCAAAGCCTGGATTTAGTCTAAAGATCCTGCTAGTTCCCTTCAATCCTGCTCTCAGGCTTCTTCAGCATTGGTCCGTTCCCTTTCTGGGAAGTCTGGAATCAGCATGCTCTCCTGGATCGGAGCCTGGGATCCTTGCATCCAGACTGACGTGCAGGTGCTAGTGAATGAATCCGTTTTCTTCGGCGTGCCTGGCTCAAACACTTTGCTGCCACATGGCACTAGCAATGGTTCCTCTTAAAAGGGACTTGAGTAACACTTCCTGGTGGGAGGTGTTCTTCCCCCAGCGGAATATAACTGCTACTGACTCGGAAAGGACACGAGGTGCTGAGCGAACTCGACTCTGGCGCCTGCCCGTAGATGCACTGCTGTCCCTGAGCAATGCGTAGGGAAGGGGTTTCTTGGGACGGGGCAAAACAAAGGGAAGCGAGAACTGAACCAAGGTTGACAGTTTTGAGCACAGGGCTTCTTGCAGGGCCTTTGAGAGACCTGCACTAAGGAGAGACCCACAGTGCTGACTCTAGCATCCGACTGCGTCCTGTGTCCCAACAATGAGTGGGCTTTTCCACTGCTTTCTTCAAGGTTGCAGGGAGCAGCTATTACAAAAAATACCTGAAGGCGATCCTGGCCAAGAGAACGTGCTCCAGAAGGTATGGCCAGGACAGTGCGTTTCCTTTCCCCAGAACTCAGCCCGGCTCTAGGTCGCTCCTGGAGCCTTGTTACTCTTCAGGGGCTGGGTGGGGTTGGGAGACATTGAACATTTCATTGCAGTATAAAGCAAAGGCGGTGGCGGCTCCCGCCCTCCCCCGGCATGTACGATACCAAGGGCAGACTGCATGTACATCGTACATGAGCAGCATGCTGTAGTTCACGCAGGAGTTCAGGGCAGTCTTATACAGGGGGCCAAACTAGATCCTAGGGGTCCCCTCTGACTCCGGGTTCCAGCGCTCCTGTTCTCGGTGGCACTGCGTTACTCGGAGAGCAAATCTAAGGGCATTTGGACAGGTTTGACTTCCAATAGGTGGTAGCTGGTCTGAAGAGCTTGAGAAACGCTGTTCTGAACGGTGCCTTCTGCTTGGTTCAGAATGGAAGCTGTTCTCAGTAGCCGGGGAGGTGGCTACGTGGGCTGGCCGGGCTGTGTCACGTCAGACTGAGGGGTGCCGGCAGAACCCTGGGCACTGCTTTCCCCGGCCTTCCAGCCGCAGGGCAGGTTGTCAGTGCTGATGGAGTGTGAAAAACCAAAGCAGGGCTTGTTCTGGGCCAACTCCGTTCTTCTTCCAGCTCCAGGCAAGCCAGTCTCCTCTCGAGGGCCCAGATGTACTTACGCTCTTACATCTACACGCCCCAGGAAGGTATCGTACAACGAGGTCCTCGGAGGCATACCAGGGTCTCTGGCACCGGGCTTCCTCCCACGGGAAGTCCCTGCTGGTGCGCTCTCGAAGCATCTGTGCAGAGACCGCTGCCATCCCAGTTCAGCACAGCTCCCTCTTTGGGGCATTGCAGGAGCACGCTCGCTCCACCGGCAAGACCTTTGGGGGGCCCGGGTGCACAGAGGTTTCTGTGTCACTGGGCTCCTTCCCTCTGGCTCCATGTGGCAGTTCAGTGGTGTGAGTGGCTGGGTGGAGTGGAACCCCTGGGTGCCCTGGGGAAGGGGAAGGGTGGGGCTGTGGGTGGAAGGAGGGGGTCAGACAGCTGGGCATGGATGGCTGGCGAGAGGAGCAGGAGCCCAGGCAAGTGGCTTTGGCTAACACGCCGTCCTGCTGCTCACAGGCCTCCAGCTGGAGCTGGGCTCTTCTCTCTCACGCCCCCTCTCTCCTGGGCTTGCAGGGTTCCAGGTTCCTCTGAAGCTGGTTCTCTCGGTAACCACAGCTGTGATTGCTGTGTACCAGGTAAGCCAGCCAGAGAAATGCCCCAGCTGGTTCCCGGGCCCTTCCTACGTTCTGTGGGAGTGGGGCAGCCCAGTCCCAGAACAGCTGGGGGGCCTGGCGTGGGTGGGAGTTTGCCCAGGGTGGGGCCAGGCAGGCTGCTGGTCCTCTGCTCTCTCTGTAGTGCTCATCTGGCTCTTGATTCACAGGTAGCCCTGCTGCTGCTTGTGGGCTTCCTCTCTCCCGTTCAGATTGTGAGGGCCGGGATGACGAAGGAGATCACAGTCCTGCTGGTTCAGTTTGGAGTCGTCCCTTCGGAAAGCCAGGGGGGAGCCCCTGGAGACATGACACAGGAGCTGGACACAGTCAGACACTATCTTTGGTCACTGGAAGGTGAGTTTCTCCAGTCTTGGCAAGCCCCGTGCTCAGGCTGCCCATCAGTTTGGAGTCGTCCCTTCGGAAAGCCAGGGGGGAGCCCCTGGAGACATGACACAGGAGCTGGACACAGTCAGACACTATCTTTGGTCACTGGAAGGTGAGTTTCTCCAGTCTTGGCAAGCCCCGTGCTCAGGCTGCCCACGATCGGTTCCCATTTCCCTGCCTGCAGCCTGTGCAGAGGCCGCGGTCCGGTCTGGGTCCTGGGCGGCGGCT